CAAAAGGGGGGTTTTTTTTTTTTTTTTTTTTTTTTTTTTTGTCTTTTTTCCGTGTCCAGCAAGGGATCGCAACCCTCAGTGTTGCCCCCGTACCGGACCGGGGACCGGCAACGGGATCGCAAGCCTCGGCGTTGCTCCCGCGCCTCGCTCAGCCAGTGAGCGGGAGCCGGTCTGTATGTGGGATCCGAACCCTCGGATGGGAGCGCCGCCGCGCTCCCCAGGCGGCGCACTATCCAGTGCGCCACCCGGGCCGGCCCGGTGTTTACATTTTTTAATGGTTGAAAAAAAAATCAAAAGAAAAATAATGTTGTGACGTGAAAACTGTATGAAATTCAAATTTCAGTTTCTAACACTAGTTTTATTGGAACACAGCCCTGCTACTCACCTGCTTACTTGTCTATGGCTACTTTTACAGTACACTGGTAGAAATGAGTAGATACAACACAAACTTTATGGTCTGTAAAGCCTAAAATATTTATTAGCTGACCCTACAGAAAGTTTGCCACCCCCTGGTTAAAGCATGCTAATTTTCCCCTCTCCATTAAGATTTAGCCTAATACAATGATTTTAAAAGCCACAATGATTAACCTGGTTACATTTTAAAATAACCTATTAGTATAATTTCAGTTAGTGCTTAAATACCTTCTCATTTAAAAAAATGGGGGGTGGGGAAGGGCGAACATAGAAATATAATGTAAAAAATGAGTCATTTTTGACAGGAAAACAAGTTTGCTTGGGCAAAGCTGCTTATATTTTATCATGATACAATGCTTGTAAAATATTTCATTAATTTATTTATATTTATTAAATGCTCACATAGGACATAATTTAATATAGAATGATGATGTGTTTTTACTCACAGCCTTCTATTTGCTAACCAAGGGTGAATTCCTCCACATACACAGGTAATTACTATACTAAAGCTTTTTTTAAAACTGCAAGTTGTAATTTAATGGTATATGAGCAGCAATTATTTTAAATAAATAGAAACATCACCACATAGCAAGATAAGTACTGTTTCTTGTCATGTATATAAATATACACATGAATTATGTACTGGATTCAATGTAAGATGGTTTTTTTGTCCCTCTGGGTTAGAGTCAAAAAAAGTTTATAGAACACTTCACTAAGATTGTTCAAATCTTTTACCACCATTCCTAGCTCAAGCAGCAATACATACTATCTTTGCTAACTCCTTCCCAGTTCTACTTCAATTTCTCCTTTCCAAAAGAAGAACCAAGTAATAACAATGGGAAGAAAAGATAATAACAATCGCAACATTATTAAATAATACCTTAAGAAATCTGAAAACATCATTTATCCTCCTAAACTGCCTAAAGTATGAGGTAAATGTGAAACAAATTCAAAGCCCCCTATTTCTCTACAATCAGTAGATCTTAAAAACAACAGAATCTATGTGTTTCAGGAGTAATAAATGAAACACAATTCTGAAAACACAGCATTGGTTTTTACAGAAGAGAATGGTTGAATTCAAGGTAATTAACACGTTTTATTCAAAATAAGTCTTTACCTAAATGAAGTATCAAATCAAAAACTGACCAAGGTAGTAACATGAACATGTTAAGTATTTCTTTTTAAGAAAAAAAAAAACAGACTCTGAAATTTTTCTGTGCATGTTAAGTTATGACACCTGCTTTCCTTTTCAACTGCTGAGGGAGCTATAATAGAAAAGAGAACTTGCATATTAGTCATAATACTGGAATTTACTTAATTTTTAACTTCAGAGAATGGAAATTAATCACATTTTGCCTAAAGTTTAATGAGTCATCTTGATTCGTTAAAAATATGGGCTCGGAAAATTATTTCACACTTATCAAGTGTGCTTCAAAATAAACAAATAAAATATGGCACTTACTTTTTATATAACTGGTCTTTGACAGATCAGTTAAAGAAAGTTTAGTAGAGAATTTAAAAGAGAGAAAGTTTATTTAGACACCGTTTCTACTCTCCTCAGTTTTTGGTAATGTACTTAACTTATTCAGAAATGAAACCATAAGAATGTAAACCTGACCAACCACAACAGGATTCCAAGCTTATAGCAAATTAGAACTTCAATTTCAAATTTCCATGCTAAAAACATTAATAAATCCCTGGAGAATGAAAAAGGTAGGAACAATTTTCCATCTGTTATTTGCTCTAATATACAGTAATATTTTATAACAAGCATATATTTTTAAATTGTTTTTTAAAAATTGAGACTTTTACAAAGCATTAAAACATAAGTTAGAAATCAGTTCATTTGATCACACAGAGATGCGACTTTGTAGGAGTTGGGGAAATTTACATATTACGTATATGATCTCCCTGTATATACACAGATACGCCCACAGCCCAAACCCATATACCATTACAGTAAGGATAAAAGAAAGACCAATATAGAAAGGGAAAAGATAACAGAACTATAGGCCTAAATAAGGAATAGTTGCTTTAAGAGATCATAAAATTTGGCTCTAAACTTCTTGGGAGAAAAGGCAAAGTAGAAACTTAATAAGTTATATGGAAATATATTCCCTCACTGGGAAAGTGACAATTTTTTCAGCACTAAACTCTAAAAGGAATTTGTTAAAGAAATTATAAGGGGGAAAATGTTCTTTGTTGTTTATTACATCAATTATCAGTAAAAACTGATATATGTATTTTTAAAACATAATTCTTAAGAGCGTACAGCTATGGAAAGACAAAATAATTTAGTTGGCTATGTAATGGTTTTAGTTGAATACTCTAAAGGAATGCCTACATCGTAGAAAAACTAGAGCAAAGTTTCTCAACAGTGCCACTATTGCCATTTTGGACCCAATAATTCTTTGTTGTGTGGGGCTGTCCTGAGCATTACAGGATACAGAGAAGCATCCCGATAGATACCCATAGCACTCGCCCACCCCAAATTGTGACAACCAAAAATGTCTAACACTGTCAAATATCCCCCTGGAAGCCAAACTGCCCTGGCTGAGAACCAGTAATCTAGAAGGAGGACTAATTAGCTGGTTCCTTATATTATTCACTCTCAAATAGCAACGTTGTTTCCAAACTTTTCACAAGAGTTGATTCAAGATAATGTCTCTAGCAACTGCCAAAGGATGGATATTTGGAGTCATTAACTTTAAAAATGTCTATAATAATAAAGGTAATATATGGTTAAGAAAATCAAAGAGTATAATTTGTATTCTTGCCATCCCACTTCCACATCAGGTTGAGCTGCAGGAGTTCCTGTGGAGAGAATCAAATATTACCTTTAGAAAATGGCTGTGATTTTATTTAGAGTTCAAATAATAACTTAATGGAAAGCACTAAATCTATTCCATAAATAAGGAGACACCAAGATCAAGAGTTTGGATCCTGTACGCACCAGCTGCCCTCCTCCCCCCAAAAAAGGAAATACACTAGGTCCAAAAGATTCTGAGGGTTTTTTTTTTAAAGCTTTCTCTTGCAGAAATCATAAGTATATTCACATTAGAAAGAATAATACAATGAACACTTCCCATACCTAGCACTCAGATTCAACATTCATCAACTTACAGCCAATAATCAGTTTTAAGAAATTTAGTAAAGCTCCTATATTCATTTTCGATGTGGCTACTATATTTTTCTTAAATCAAATTCACAGCCTTTGGTAATCACCACTGCCTTTGCCTTTATGATATTCTTTGACATTACAATGCTAAAATGCATTAATGTTAAATTTTGGAAGTTCAACACTGTTATTTAGGAATAATTTTAATAGTAAGAAAAGTATTTAGAATTTTTATTGGGTTTCTACAGTTATTAGTTATATAACAATAAACTTAGTCTTATTTAGAAGAGGCCTCAATAATAGTACTTACCTGTGGCAAGTAAAAAATGTGTTCAGCTAACAAATACAACCAAAATTAATGCAAGTACACTACTATTAATACTATTATTGTTCACTGCAGATCCTGTTAACCAAAAACTATATTAAGTAATACCACTGCACTTGTATAGAACTTAAACATTTATTCTCCCACAGTTCCTTATTAGTTTCCCCATCCTTCTCACTGCTATTGCCAAGCTGGTCTTGCATGCTGCAGGCTCCCCCCATGACACTTGAACCACATAGTGCCAAACCCAGGTTCCTATAGGATATCCCTCGTTGCCTTGAAATAATCACACTGACTCCCAGCTCCTTTGCAAGCCTGAGACCCCATCCCACATTTCCCTCACGAACCCAAGCACAAGCTCAGACCACAGCAGATGACAGGAAGGTACTGTATAAAATATTTTGTTTTAGGAGCATCCATGCATTGTTGTTTCCCATTACCACAAATAATTGACAGTTGACTGTACTGGATAGCACTACCTCAGTTAGCTGCCCATCAGTGTGGGAAAATGTTTGCAATCAAACAGTTACAGTGGATTAACTCAACTAAATTGGGTGTTTTAAAATATGTCTCAAGTAAGCCAATGTTTCAAATAAGCATTTAACTATTTAAATGACAAATACACTTCAAATTATGCATCTTTCATAAAACAAATTAGTTACTAACAAACTGAATGAGTAATTTTCAGCTGTTCATTTTTTATAAAGTGATATAAAAACTACACATAGGACACTAATTAGCAAGTGTATAAATTTTCTTTCTATACATAATTACATACTGATAACCTTCACTGGTATTCCTTAATTTAAAATTGGGAATTTTTAAGAAAGGCTATATAAATAAAATTTTAAACAAAAAACTACTCCACATGTCGAGTTCTTCAGGGATTAGACCTTCCACTGCCTTTCAGTACCTAACTTGAAAAGAATTACCTCAAATTTTACATTATTTTACAATCATTTATTTCTATCTCCTTTACTTGCTACCTGCTAACTCAAAGCCTGGCCCAATAAGTCCTAGTCAGTTCTTGGGAGGAACACTACTTTTTAAAGTTCTTTATATTGCTTTTTGACCTCTCTTGATCTTTTATTCTAAGCAATGACGAACTAAATACAGACAGTACTGACTGTTTTTACTAGCTGAAAGGAAAGATGGACCTGGCTCAGAAGAATTTATTTACACATTTATACGAATTTTAGTTTGAATAATGTTCTGTAAATCTTTTTTTTTTTTTAACTTACCAAAATGGACACAAAATCATGGACAGTAAATAGCATTCACCCTTGCACAGTATGCCATACTAACTTAAAGGTATGCCTGCTTATACAAGTACTCAGTAAAATTAAATGTTTGCTGTGATAACCACATATCCATGAAAATATTTAATATTAATTCCTACCAGTTTGAAGATTAAAATTTCCAGTTATTTTTTAATAATATGCTTCCAAAGAACTGACAGGATAACAGCAACAAAGATAGAGATGGAATTTCTTTTTAAAATTTATCATCCCTAACACACCTAAAGTAATCCATGCACGAACCTATCCTAACACTGCCTTATGGATACGGCGAGTGTGGTGTCAATTAATATACTATGTAATACTATATTGTCCTTTTAGTACAAAAAGGTCTCTGATACTGTATATTTCTAAGCAATTCTGTCTTTTCAAAAAAAATGACATTTAAAAAGAATGGGTTATGATTTTGTTTTGTTGAAGTATTTCTTCCTGATCATAGTTGGTAGAGTTAATGGAATTCCCATCCTCAGATTCCAATTCAGAGTAATTTGGGTAACAGTTCAGTAAAGTAACAGAGGGCTGAGATCAGTGGACACAGAGTGAAGTGGACAGCAGAGTCAACAGAACAGAAAGAAGCAAATACAAATCAAGCTCATTTGTGAGAATCTCAGAAGAATGATGGAATTCAAGATGGACTACAGCTCAGAAATTATCTAATCAGACCTATAAACTTACAGATGAGAAAACTGAAGTTCAAAGAGGTCAAATGTCACACAAGTTAGCAAAAGAGCCAAAGTAAAACCTAGATCCCCTGACTCTTCCCCCTCCAATCCTACTCAGTCTTCATTTCCAATAAAATAGAGAAAAGGGCTGGAGCACTAGGAGGCTGAAAAAGTGATAAAGTTCTTACCTAGGAGACAGAAAAAATATGATGGGAAAAGCAAATGAATGTTCCAGATATCTAATATCTACTGGTCCTAAACCACTCTACCAGACAACCCTTACAACAATTTTTGAAACCTACTGCCATTCCAATAAACATGTGATCTTGTCTTTGACCTGACTGAACTTCCATATCTTTGTTTCTTCAAGTCTATCTTTTCTACAGATTCTCAGAATTTAGTATTTTTACCCCAGTTGCACAAAAATGTGGTCTTAAAATAAGAATTCTCAGGCTCCCTCTAAAAACATATATTTCTAATAATAATGATGCAAAGCATAATAATAATAATAAATTTAAGAATCAAACATTTGGGGAAAAAAGTATCTTGAAGCTAAGCTGCCAAACTATGGCTATATGCCAAATCTTTCCCACCACCTGTTTTTATATGGACCACAATTTTAATATTTTAAAATAGTTTTTTAAAGAAATATACCCACACAAATAATATGAGACTGAGACCATATGTGGCCCACAAAACCTAAAATATTTACTATCTAGCCCTTTATAGAAAAAGTTTGTCAATATATTTCAGAGTATTTACTATTTACTTTGTAAACAAAAAAACATTTTCTTTTACATTACAAAATGATCTTCTAGTCTAAAGAGCATCAAACAGTTTTGATAATCTACTTTTTTTTTTTTTTTTGACTGCTGGCTGGTACGGATTGAACTGTGGACTACGGTGCTCCCAGCACCACCCTCTAATCAACTAAGCCTAGCCCGCCAGCCTCAACTGACTTTTTTTTTTTTTTTTTTTTTGACTGCTGGCTGGTACGGATTGAACTGTGGACTACGGTGCTCCCAGCACCACCCTCTAATCAACTAAGCCTAGCCCGCCAGCCTCAACTGACTTTTTTTTTTTTTTTTTTTTTGACTGCTGGCTGGTACGGATTGAACTGTGGACTACGGTGCTCCCAGCACCACCCTCTAATCAACTAAGCCTAGCCCGCCAGCCTCAACTGACTTTTTTTTTTTTTTTTGTCTTTTTTCCATGTCCGGCAACGGATCGCAACCCTCAGTGTTGCCCCCGTACCGGACCGGGGACCGGCAACGGGATCGCAAGCCTCGGTGTTGCTCCCGCGCCTCGCTCAGCCAGTGAGCGGGAACCGGTCTGTATATGGGATCCGAACCCTCGGACGGGAGCGCCGCCGCGCTTCCCAAGCGGCGCACTATCCAGTGCGCCACCGGGCCGGCCCCTCAACTGACTTTTTAAATAAAGAATTCTACCTGTACATTAAGCATAATAGAAAAATTTCAATTCTTGGGGCCAATGCTAGAAAATATATAAAACTTTTTAATTACTCATTTCTTAGATACAGCCTCTATCAGTCCATTTCTCCTACTCAACCCGTCTGCCAACATACCAAGATATATTCTTTATAAACTTAGCTGCTACACAGTTGTAAATTCCTTACCTCTCCAGTTATTGTCCTCTAGACACTCAACTCCAAATGAAGAAGGTTCAACTTACTGACAGATCTGACTGAGGCCTCTGTTATTTCTGATCTAGTAATCTCTATCCATTCGTCTCTATTGTTTACTTATTCCACTAGAATAGCTTTAAAAGATAGTATTAGTTAGAACATAATAATTAAATGTCAATTTATATGATACCAAAATGTTCTCTTTAACTTAATACATATGCTTTCAATCTAGGGTAGCCTTAGAGTATTTATCTTCCTCCTTGGGCCTGTTTCTCTTTTCTACCAAAGAACTACAAAATTGTAAACAGAAAATAAGTGATTTTTTTTTATTGTCATTTGTTTGTTGTCATCATTCCCCCACATAATTTCTTCTACTTTCCTCTACCAACTAATAAAAGGCAGTCCCCTCCTTTTTAGGAACTTTAATATATTAATTTCTCTTCTACATTTACTCTTATTTTGTTGTTCAGGTCCTTAGCCAATACTTCAAACATGCAAAACTTTTAAGACCCTCAAGGAAAGACCTTGAAATTCTATATCGGATTAGAAATTTGTCAACCTCCCTCCTTCCAGAGAAAACAAAGTTCATCTATTTCATCATTTAAAATGCCACTGATTATTTCCTTCAAGAAGTCTTTCCAAAATAAAATTTACCTCTCACTCACTGAAACTCACCAATTCTTTTTTGTTTTAACTTAAGAGATACAGCAATACAATTAGCAATAAATTACACAACATCTACAGAAATTTACATGGGATGTGAAGAAACTCCTATAATAACAATTTCAGATATAAGATTAAATAATATTAAACAACAAGAAATCCCTCTGAATCAGTCTGATGAATTTTCAAACAGCAGAAATATAAGGTAGACCTACCATATCTGATTAAATATCTGGACTACATTTTATTTAATTACACAAATTTGCTAAACTTTAGACTCTCAAGAATGGTTGATTAGTCATTTCAAAAGTGTCCTGAACTCCCAAGATATACGAAAAACAATAACATGCAATTTTTTAAATTCTTCTTATTCCAGAAGAGTTGTAATCATTTAGATCTAAAAAGAGTGCTGAATAATACTCAAATGACAAGAGTGCTAAAATAGAAAACTTCAAAGATCTCACCAAAAACAGGCAGGCAGGAAAAAACCTCTTATCATTTTAATGTTTTTAAAAATACATTTTTCAGTTAAATTGGTTATTCATTGCAGTATTATTTTAAATGGCCCCCAAATATAGGAGTGATTATGAAAGCTATGACACATACACACAACATTATGCAACCAATGAGAATGCTTGAAGCACTTACAACATCATGAGAATATGTTTGTTTTAATGCTAAATTGAAGGAGAAGAACCTAAAATTCTATACCTCCTATAATCACAGCAACATTTTAAAAAACAATTTACAGAAGAAAGTATTACAAGGAAACATACCAAAATATTAATAGTGAAAAGCTTTGTGATGAAAGGATATGTTTTCCTTTTTTTTTTCTCTTTCTATATGAATGAAGAAAGTTTAACACTTATTTTTTAAAGTTCTATATAAAGATAATTTTATAAAGCTTGCTATTCACTTAGTCATTCCATTACCACAAGTATTGTACCATCCCAGTAAACATAAATCCTACCACCAACAACAAAAAAATTTAAACAAGCCACCAAGCTATCAAATTTATATTTTTAAAATGATAATGAAGTGTAAAGTTTGGTAGAAAATGTAAGAAACCAGTCAAATTTTCACTGCCTGGCTGATTATGTTACCATAATAACTGAGTTTTAGTAGAATCCATTAAAATTTATTTTCCTATCAAAATCAGAGAAGAAAACCACCCACAAAAAGTATCAAAAAACAACCTTATATTGAGTTTGTATTTTCCAAATCGTACATGTGAGTTAAATCACATAATAAAAGTTGCCAGTGCTACAGACAGCTCGTGTTTATTATTAAGTGTTCTTCATAGGCAATAGAAAAATAGTGTGGTCTCACTTGTGAGATATGATTGATTGAAGATTCCATCCTTCGTAGTTGGGATGCCTGGATATCCAGCATCTGCAGGACATTGTTGGCCAAGGTGTTTATCAGATAGGCAACACTTGCTAAGGATTGGGTGGTGTAGGCTTTGGTTTCTTCTAGGGCTCTCTGCTTATCTGCTGACTAGGGGAAAAAACAAACCAGTGATCATTAATTTAAAGATAACCCATTTCTAACAAACTAACCTATAAGAGTCATGTCTGTCTGGTACTTATCAAAATTGTTCTGTTGCTGGATCTACACACACAGTCAAAAAACATCCCGAAAACTAATAATCAGTATCAAGTAAACCCAACAGTAAACTAGTGACTGAGTTCACGAATATTTTCATGTTGAACAGATACATCTTTGTAAGGATGCAAATAAAACCTTGAAGCCATTATTTTTAAAACGAGATCCAATGGATACTGTGAGCAATGGCAGTAAATACATAGCTTTTCGTGGTCCCTACTTGGAAAGGTAGCACTAACTTGAACATGTAAATTCTGGCATACTTTTTTCTGCTTTCCCGAATTCCTCCTTTCCTTTCACTCTACCATGTGAAATGTGGCTATACAATAATGTCTAATTAAAGTAATAATAATCATAAAATAATAATATGATAAAGTGGCAATAGTAATAACAATAAATTAAAATAAAAATAATGGGGGAGGGGAGAGAGGGAGGAGGGCGGGAGGTGTCGGTGATGGGCCATAATAATCATATACACTGTATATTGACAAAATAAAAATTAAAAAATAAATAAATAAATAATGAAAGGATCATTTCTTCCCAAGCATGTTATGTGTTATAACCCTAGGGGATATAAACTACCAAGAATCAAAAACCCTACTTGAAAAACAGAGACTGCACAATAAAAAGTGGTTAACTAATTATTCCCAAGGTCACAGAGAAGAGCAATGGTAAAACCACATATTGTATACTGCTAACACCAAACACCATCTTCTTGCCCTAGTTGTACAGAAAGACTGTGGTTCAGTAAAAGTACACAAGCCTCTGAACCAGAAACCTTTTATTTAGTATCAATGTTACTATTTACTACAATATGTCAACTTGGACAGGAGTCATAGTTTCTCAATTATTAAGCAGAGGAAATAAATCCCGGATTCAACCATTCTGAGAAGTTGTGAACACTAAATTAGATAATAAACATAAAACTACTTTCTAAAACTATTAATCATTATATATAACAACTGTCATCTCGAGTGGTCACTAACTGTCTCAAATCCTCTATACCTCAATCTCATCTCTCCCACACAGAAATCAGAATCAACAACCCTAGATATAAATTTTTCCCAGGTTAGGGGAAAGAAAAGAAAGCAAAAGCAGCAGCAGCAGTGTATTAGTCCCTTTATGTAACCTGAAACAGATTATTTGAAACTGGGTGACATAAATAAAATTAATTTCTTACAGTTTTGGAAGCTGGGAAGTCCAAAGTTCAGGGAACACATCCAGTGAGGGCTGCCTTCTTGATGGAAACTCTACACAGAGACCCGTGATAACCAGCTTATCACATGGGGAGAGAATGGCCTGAGGAAGAGAGAGCTAACCTTCTCACTCTCTTTATAAAGCCATCAGAACCATGACCACCCATTAAACCATCATCAATCCATTACACCATGAATGAATGAATCCATTCATGAGGGCACAGTCTCCTAATCCAATCACCTCTTAAAGGACCCATCTTCAATCACCATATTGGGGGGTTCAGTTTCAGCATAAGCTTGGGGTGGGGGGACAAACCACAGCAAACAGTTAACAAAATAACAAAATAATACCGTTTTACCGAACACAAATCAATTACAAACATTTGAAATGATTGATATGCTAATTACCTATTTTGACCATTACACATTATACAGATACTTCAAAAAGTTTGAAAAATTCTATTTGAAAAATAGAATTGAAAGATAATCTGAATCTCTCCATGAACTTTTTGAAGTACCCTCATATACATGAATCCATATATCACATTATACCCCTTAAATATGTATAATTATTACATCAATTAAAATTCTTTAATTATTTTTAAAAACAATAAAAATACCATTTTAGGGCCGGCCCGGTGGCGCACTGCTACAGTGCGCTGCTTGGGAAGCGCAGCGGCGCTCCCGCCAAGGGTTCGGATCCCACATACAGACCAGCCGCTCACTGGCTGAGCGAGGTGCGGGAGCAACACCGAGGGTTGCGATCCCGTAGCCGGTCCCGGTCCGGTACGGGTGCAACACTGAGGGTTGCGATCCGTTGCCGGTCACGAAAAAAAGACAAAAAGGAAAAAAAAAAATACCATTTTAACTTGAAGAGTTAAGAATCACTGTTAGCTTTTTATTTATTTTCTATTCTAGTCCTTAATAATCTGTTTTATCAAAGCTTAAATGAACAAAGATGACACCAAACTTGATGAAAAATACTTTTAAACAACAACATACATTCTAGGATTCCATAACAGCTATTTTCAAGATAGTCATATCTGTTTAAATTTCATAACTGTTGATGCAAACAAAAGATGTTAAATTATATTGCCACTAAAATTACATATTTATATAAAATTAAAATTATGCTTATACATTAGACCTAAAAAATTTACTTTTAAAATTTTAAAATGAATGTCCTACAGGGCCGGCCCCATGGCTCACTCGGGAGACTGCAGTGCTGGGAGCACCGAGGCCACGGGTTCGGATCCTATATAGGGATGGCCAGTGTGCTCACTGGCTGAGCGTGGTGCAGACCACACCGTGCTGAGGGTTGCAATCCCCTTACCAGTCAAAAAAAAAAAAAAAAAAAAAAAAAAAAAAAACAATGTCCTACAGTTGATGGTAAAATCTCAATTCTATTCTAGCTGTCATTTGCCAAAGTTTTTCACCCTAGTATAGCCTAAGCATATTATTCAAACACACACCATGGATTTTAGGATTTTTAATGTGTCAGATACAATTTAAGAATAACTATGTATTATGGTTTGAAGATGTCCCCCAAAGTTGATGTGTTAGAAACTTAATGCCCAATGCAACAGTGTTGAAAGGTAGGACCTTTAAGAGGTGATTAGGTCACGAGGGCTCTGTCCTCATGAATGGATTAATGGTGTTATCATGGGAGTGGGTTAGTTATCACAAGAGTGGGTTCCTGAAAAAAAGATGAGTTCAGCTCCCTTCCTCTCGTTCTTGCACTTCCTTGCCCTTTAGCCTTCCACTATGGGAAGACACAGCACAAAGGCCCTCACAAGGTGCCAGCACCATGCTCTTGGACTTCACAGCCTCCAGAACCTTGAGCCAAATAAATTTGTTTATTATAAATTACCTAACCTGTGGAATGCTATTATAGCAACATAAAATGGTCTAAGACACTATGAATGATGCTAGATAACTGCTTCCCAAATAGGAGTTCACAGGCATTCTCCAAGAACCAGTAGTTTTCTTTCATAATTTATTTTTGTACTTCTTTTATTTCCACAGTAACTTATTTACAAAATTAACATATTACCATAACAGAGCCTGGATCATCTGGCATGACCACATGGTAACTGAGAAACATAAAGCAAATTCATTACTGCTTTGGGGTTCAACTATGTTTAGGCCCATATCATGCTACTTAATTGCAGAGCATATTAATGAAATAGCATAGGCATACTTAATACATAAATAATACATTCACACCAAAGGATGATCAAATATACATTACATTGTACTGTAAAAACAAAAGAAAGTTTCTAAAAAAGATTTGCAATTGCTTAAATAGTTTAAAGGAGAGACATAAGTCATCTGAAGGCACCCCTATTGTCTAGGTCCATAGCACACTCCCTAACACTGCACAGAAGAATTTATAGACCCACCACCATACTCAAATTTCAAGGGACAACTGAACTGTGGCAAAATATCATCTATGATGTTACTATTTCTGATTTAAACTTTATTAATTTCATAGCTTTTTTATTTACACATTTATTTTGAATCTATAGTTATTACATGAGCTTTAATCACATTAGCTTTAGTCATAAAGTCATATAAACCATAAGTGGTTTATATCTAATTTTACGTTTGAACACAAAATAAATTTTTTTAAATAAGTCAACACAGGCAGTTAGATTTCTTTCTTTTCACGTAAATTTAAGGGTTCTGTCCATTTATCAAGGCTAAGAAATAAAATTAGTGGAAATAATAGAATTTAAAAACACAAATCTTTTCATGAATTTTTTTTTTTTTTTTTTTTTTTTTTCTTTTTTTCGTGTCCGGCAAAGGATCGCAACCCTCAGTGTCGCGCCCATACCGGACCGGGACCAGCAACGGCATCGCAACCCTCGGTGTCGCACCCACACCTCGCTCAGCCAGTGAGCGGGAACGGGTCTGTATGTGGGATCCGAACCCTCGGCGGGAGCGCCACCGCGCTCCCAAGCGGCGCACTGTAGCAGTGCGCCACCAGGCCGGCCCTTTTCATGAATTTTTTTTTTTTTTTTTTTTTTTTTTTTTTTTTTTGTGTCCGGCAAAGGATCGCAACCCTCAGTGTCGCGCCCATACCGGACCGGGACCAGCAACGGCATCGCAACCCTCGGTGTCGCACCCACACCTCGCTCAGCCAGTGAGCGGGAACCGGTCTGTATGTGGGATCCGAACCCTCGGCGGGAGCGCCACCGCGCTCCCAAGCGGCGCACTGTAGCAGTGCGCCACCAGGCCGGCCCTTTTCATGAATTTTTTGAAGATTCAATACTATGACAGTTTATTCTCAATATGAAAAAAAACATATGAAAAACATAATGCAAATCTAGTCCTGTAAGAATTAAGATAACAGCCCCAGCAAGTATGTAGCCTGAGGGAGATAAATATTTTTTCTGATCTTGGTCCCACAGAGTGAGACTTCCAATCAATGAACTGGAAATAATTTATGATACCCATTGCTGTACAAAATTCATAGATTAGCAATTATTTTCATTAATAGAAGAGGCAAAAATCTAGTTCCCACACTCTCTATAAAATAATAGAGTGACAGATAGGAGGAAATTATCAGGATCAATTCTACAATGAAGGAGAACTGTATGGCCATCATTACAAAAAAAAAAAGTTAAGCTTTCATTCAATATAACATGAGATCTACCATACATACAAGGCATTGCCCTC